AAGTCTTGGGTATGATTTTGTCGAAACCCAAATTGACTTAATAACTATGATTCTATTTCATGTTTATTAACCCGGTTATGAATCACTATTCATCTCTGCCTTGGCCAAGGACTTTGGATTAATAACTATGAAACACATAGGAAATTCACTTATCTTCATAAGTGTCGAATCCTTTATTGGCCACTAACAAACTTCCATACATATCAACATAATACCCAACTTATCCCTTTAAACGATAGTGCTAGCTACCAAAAGGATAAATCAAAGTAGAATGTAATATGCACAAAGTTACCATTGTGCCTCAAGTCTTAGGATTAGTCATGTACTATTGTAACATGAAAATTCTTATTCGACTGAATAAATTCTTCATTAAGAATTTTCATACGGTCATGTTCAGTGAACTTGTTCTCTAACAAGCACCCACATAAATGTACTTACGTCTTACGCTAATGTTGATGGAATGCAACATTCTTGTCCAACAAGCATACAAACTATGTGCAAGTCTTTTATGGATTATTCGATATCCCATCTCGAAACATCCATCGACTTGGAACTGTATTTAAGATCACGGCTTTCAAGGTATGTTCCATGATCACCATCTCTATGCGCAACCATACCTTATAACCATAAGTGATCTAGGGATTTTATCTTAAGTGCAATTATAAGATAAATGCTTTCTCTTAAGATAAAGAAATGCCTTATTCATAATATAATTCCAATAGACTGTATTTACAAGTAGAATACGTCCAATTAGATTGGAACGCCGGGTACCCTACTCTAACACATCATTAAATAGATGGGTCCGTTGGCTACAATTAGGAAAAAGCAGAATTCGATTTCGAGTTCGGACGAGTCCGGACGGGCCCGATATGTGAAGTCGTGCACGAAAGCTGTCACCTTCAAGTCAAAAGATTTTGGAGGACAAGTTTTCAGGAAAATATGTGCTGGGATTACATATTTAGATAGAGGGGTTCGTTAGCTACGCGTAGGAAAAAACGGAACCCAATTCTGAGTTCGGACGAGCCCAAACGAGCCCCAGAAGCAAAATAGTACAAACCGCCCCGCGCGCCGCGGCGCGACAACCCTCCACGGCGCGGCACAACACTCCTTCGCGGCGCGGCAACTCCTCCGCGGCGCGACAAGGCCTTTCTCCGCGCCGTGGAGCCTCCGCGACCCCGACAGAGGCTTCCCAGGCCTCCCAGCATCGCGCCCCGACAGAGGCTTCCCAGGCCTCCCAGCATCGCGCCGTGCCACCCCTCGCGCCGCGGCAACCTGCTGCCTCGTGCCGCGCCAGACTTTTCTCGCGCCGTGACCTATGAGTTATATAAATATGGGATGCGACTTCGACAGAAAGGAATTCTCTCCCCTTTTGGGAGACAACCCTAGGCCCGAGATAAAACACGAAGCTCTTTTCTCCTCTTTTCTTCCCTTCTTCTTCTTCTTCTTCGTTTTTCTTCTTCTCTTCACCATTCTCTTTCATTCTTTTTTTCCTTCTTCTTAATAATTAGGATAAGCTTGTAACTTGGATTCAACCCTTGGAATTTGATTGATTGCAAGTTTTTCATCTTGTTTAATTCATGAGAATGATTATTTGGGGTGAATTGCTTGATTGTGTTGAATTCATGATTCATTGTTAATTCTGATTGCTATGGATAGGGGATGATTGTTCATGTTTCACGTGTATTTGTCGGGCTAAAATTGTTCATGCTTATAGCTTGATAGTTTGATGTAATCGAAGGGTGACACTTCGATCTTGCAATTGGTAACAATTGGATATTGAGTTGTCGAGTTTGGTTTGTTGATTCTCGATAATTAGTTGATTAAACACCTTCTAATTGAATTAGCGGCTTTTAAAACCGAAAGGGAAGAAGTCGTAGACCTAGGCTCGCATGAGGTAGATAATTTCGTAATTGAATAGTCTATAGGTTTCGGATTGAAATACGTGCTTGTCAATGACCCGTCCCTTGTTACAAAAAGTTATTGGGATTGGGATAATTGGCATGTGTTGTATGCCCGAGCTTGTTCGTCTATGTTCAATCCCTTGTTACGAAGAGTTATTGGGAGCGAACCACTAGATGTTTAAGCGATAGTGTCAATCTAGAACCGAACAATTGAATGCCCGGCTTTGCTAGAACTTGAATAAATTGTCCCCGATTCCCTAGCTTCTCCATATTTGTTTCGTTTATATTTCTAGGTAGATTATTGTTTTCATATTATTTCTTAGTTGATAGTTAATTCCTCCCCAATCTGATTAGAGTGTTTAGGATTTATTTTCTTTTCGTGTGTAATCGATACCAAAGCTAGATTCCGAACCGCCTTCCTCGAGAGATCGACCCGGGAAACGAATCATTGATTCGATACTCGGTAAAATATAACAATTTGTACACAACAGTTTCAAAATCAACGAATGTGATAAATGTGTTTATGTCAAGGGTACATCAAATACATTTGTGATTGTATGTCTATATGTAGACGATATGTTGATCATGGGGAGTAGCCATGAAGTGATCATGGATACGAAAGAAATGTTGAAAAGAAATTTCGACATGAAAGATATGGGTTTGGCTGATGTTATTCTTGGAATAAGAATTATCAGGACCAATGATGGAATTGTCTTGTCACAATCTCATTATGTAGAGAAAGTGCTCAAGAAATTTGATGCCTATGACGGTGCACAGTCTAGGCGTATGTGTAAGACACCCCTTGATCATAGTATAAATCTGGTAGCCAATAAAGGTCAACCAGTGGCTCAGTTGGACTATTCACGGATAATAGGAAGTCTGATGTACTTGACGAATTGTACACGACCAGACTTGGCCTATCCGGTGAGTAAGTTGAGCAGATTTACGAGCAATCCTAGTCATGAGCACTGGAATGCTTTAAGAAGGGTACTTAAGTACTTGAGGTACACCCTTAAATACGGGCTAAAATACTCGAGATATCCAGCTGTACTTGAAGGGTACTGTGATGCAAGCTGGATATCAGAATCGAGGGATTCTCACTCCACTAGCGGATATGTTTTCTGCATTGGAGGAGGTGCTGTTTCGTGGAAATCCACAAAACAAACTTGTATAGCTCGTTCAACGATGGAATCGGAGTTCATCGCTTTAGATAAAGCTGGTGAAGAAGCTGAGTGGCTTAGAATTTTTTTATCCGATATTCCATGTTGGGATAAGACTTTGCCGCCTGTGATTCACTGTGATAGCCAAGCTGCTATAGGTAGGGCGCAAAGCAATTTGTATAACGGTAAGTCTAGACATATTCGTCGTAGACATAATACCGTACGTCAATTGATCTCAAATGGTGTTATTTCCATTGAATATGTGAAGTCTAAGGAAAATTTGGCTGATCCCTTGACGAAAAGATTGAATAGAGATCAATTGGTAGTTTTGCTAGAGGGAATAGGCTTAAAAATCCACAATGTAAAGAATGATCATAGTGGTAACCCTACCATGCTGAGTGGAGATCCCACGAACTTGGTTCAAAGGGAAAACTAAGCTATGAAAATTCAGTTGAGCACTTGGAACATATGAATGTCTAGAGCTATTCCCTAGAGCACTCCAAGTGCAAAAAGACCTGTTGATTGTGGTGAGGGTAAGTCATGTGGACTTTTAATGAATCCCTACCCTTGTAAAGGTGGAGTATGGCAGGATACTCTTGATAGGGAGGTCACCTATGTAAGTGTGAAGTGTGGGCCGCATCAAATGTAAACACTTATGAATCCATTGTGTTGTCCATGGCCAAAACGGACACAACGATAGAACGGAATGGAATTAAGACTCTATTGTGTAAATGTCATTGACTGGGTGTACATTACGGAGGAATAGTTCAAGGCATCATGACCACTAGTCCGCCAGTGCATCCGATGATGTTTACAAAGAAAGGTTCAAAGCCAAAAGCTACCTTTTCTGATGCAATAGAGTTTTGTGAGGATTGAGCAAATAGTATATTATATTTAATTTACACTCATGTGGGGGATTGTTATAATATTTAATTATTATAATTGTTTGAGTGTAAATGATGTTATGTCAGAGGCATTTATGAGGAAGTGTCAGAGGCATTTATTATGTCAGAGGCATTTATTAGTTCACTCACAAACATGCATATGGATTGTTGTTTGCGTTAAGACACCACCAAATTTAATGCTTGAAGACCAATTGCTCTGCTCTCTTCATCTATATAATGAGTATCAGCAATAGGATGTAAAAGGGGGAAGACAGAAAGAAAAATCACAATACGCAGAAGGAAGAAAGTGAAAGAAAAATAGAGAAAATAAAAATAATATTTATATTTTTAGTGCTCAATTCTTGACTCCAATTTTGTTCGCCGGAGCTCTTAAATCTGGTGTGCTACATATTTAGAGACGTTTGCCGTTGTATCTTTGGGGAAGTTACGCCTGAACCGTTAGCAGGCACACGGGGCGTATTCTTCTTGCGGAAAGAGTTTTACTCGCCTCGGCTAAATTCTTTCTGTAATTTTTTTTTCGGTTGTAATTTGATTTTATCAGATGTAATTTATTTTTCAGTTCGATTGTAATTTTTTATTTTTAGATTATTTGTAAGAACTGAAAAATTACATATCAGTTCATAGGATTCCCGTGTATTTTTATACCAAATTTTTCTAAAACCAAGTACATGTGATTTTAGCAGACCCTGCAAATTTGCAGAAAGGGTAAAAGAGAAAAGAAAGTTCGTAAACATATAGCATTTGCAAATGTTATATGTTCCCCAGTAAACGCGTAAAGACTACAACAAACGCTTGAATGCTATTCTACAATCTTTAAAGTACAGATTCAGAGAAGCACAACATTCAGAGAGTAATTTACATACAGCCTCAAATTACTTTCAATTACCAGCATTGTACTATAACAAAGAATCTGCACCAAATTCTAAAACACGCAAAAGGTAAAAGATCTCGAACTGCAATTTTTTTAACTCTAACGACTTGTTTTCACCTCTCACACACGAATTTCAACAGGCCATTCATAACACCAAACACAGTTAGCTTGTAAAGGCCTTAGACTCGACCCACAAAACCAAATCCTCGCGAGTCGCGACAAACAAACCCGATTTCCGCTCACTCTCATGAAAAGGCGCAGCCATCTTCTCCACATGTGAAGCAAAAGCTCTCCCTAAACCATGCGAGAACTTATGAGTTCCAGCTCCCGTGCTTGCAGAGAAAGCAGGCAAACTCTCCTTTCGCTGCACGATTTTAACCAAAGTTCCCATCCACTCCTCGAAGGTTGTCTCGGCTGCACCAACTGACAATGACTGAACGTTCAACCGCCACTCTTCTTCAGTCTTGGTGTGTAAGCCTTGGTACAATCCGTAAACAGTCCCCAGATAAAGAAGCTCGTGGGCCCTTCTGTGAAGGTTCCTTTTTCGGCAAATATCGATTAAGCAATTGCAGAATGGCCTCCGTGCCTCGACATCCGTGCCGCTAAGCACGCTTTTGAACTCGTCCTTCAATTTATCGAGACCGACATTAACATTTTCATCATTATCGCCACACAAGAGGTTCACGAATGCAAACAGAATCAAAATCCATTTTCAACTTACTAAAATTTCTTTAAGATCAGCAAGAGTAGCCTCCAAATGCTTGCGGCAGTCAAAAACCACCATCCTTGATTCAGCCACACATTTTCCTGAAAAATATATATCAGCACAGAAGTTTTACCAATCAAATAAAGAAAAAGCAAAGTACATGCTGCACACGGTCCCCATGGACTTGAAAACATCCAATTCCATCTTTAGAAAATAGTTGTAGATATTAAGACAAAAAGGAAAAGACAGAACACAGTTCCATTTGATCAAGCTGCCCAAAAAATTACATCAATAAACTAAGTATATGCTGCAATTTTGTGTTCCTCGATTGAGTTACATGATAGCTTCCATTAGCAATATCTAGAAATCAATGACACAAACATATATTTAGAAAAAGAAGTGCAAGGTTTCAGTAAATGTCAGGAAATTGAACAATATGCTGTACTTTTTATTTAGAATTCTAGTTTTTATGCATGTCTTAATTCAGTCTTTTATATTTTCAAGAAACCGAAATTCAGTTCACACAAATTTATGAAAGATAGACGGTTTTAGATATGTAAGCATGAGATTCAAAAGTTCCATATTGCTTTCTCTTAATTCTTCTTAAGCTTCAATACACAACCCTAAGGAGACACCATTAAATATTTAAAAAATTTACAACAATAAAGAATCAAGAACGATCATTGAGTTACTCTACCCAGGATAGCATAACCATCAACAAAGCAAGTAATGCACAACATTAAATCAAATTAAACAAAAAAAATAAAACCCAAATGGAAGACTTACATTGATTCTATACGTTCTAGGATTTAAATCAGATCTACGACAACGTATTGCAGATGGCGGTGGAAAAGTGAGCGGCGACTGGTAGTGTTCACACCCGAAGCACCTCTTCGTCATTTGAAGCAACGCACGGGTCCCGGGGCAGTACACATCCACTGACCGTGAAAATTCAACTGGCAGCGTAAATCATCCAATCTTTTCATCGACAAATCATGTTCATCAATTACTGTTGCACTAAAATTTTCTTTTTCATATCTTCTAGTAGAGGCATGATCGCCTGAAGCTCTTTCTTCAAGCTCCCAGAACTCTGAATTCAAGCAGCAAAATAGCAATAGTATTGGAAACATACAAACAAATTACAGATTATAAGACTAAACATAACTTTTTTTTTTTCAGGTTTATCTATTTACCTTATTTACATGAATTGGTCGATCTCCCATTACAGAAGAGATGTCTGCAAGCTGCGCTTCGGCATCAGCAACTGCTTGTCTTAGCTGGGCCCGGGAATGGCTCGCCTGATCCACTTTCTTTCTATAAGCATCCAAACACTCTTGCTCAAGTTCAAAAAGCATTTTGTCCCTTTCGTTATCAGCTTCCCAATTTCATCCCATATTTTCTGGTGCAAGTAAGAATTGTGATAGATAATGAAAAATTTAAGTGCACAAAGAGCAAAAACAGCTATGTATTCACTATACGTATGAGGTACTTAAAAACTATAATCAAAGGTAACCTGTAGCTCAAATAGAAAGATCCACAAGTTGTTCCCACTTCTAACGCCGATCTGTGTTCCAGTTATTCGAAGCCTTCTGTCCAATTTTGACGGAAAATATGCAAAACATCACATGCCTAGAACAAAGATTGAGGGAAAACGAATATACACTAAACTGGGAAATAATCCATCACAAACACAAACATTACATGACATAATATAGTAAGCGAAAAAAAAAAAAAACAAAAAACTAAGCATGAAAACACCATCTTCCTTAACTAAAACACAGAATAATGATTGTCATAAAGCATTGATCGCATACCCAGTCCAAAATTATTAGTCTGGTACCTTCGACCTGCACTATTCATCAATCTTCATGCAGAAACCGATATAAAGTCATTTACCCTGTCTCTTTACCTTATCTCGTCGCCTCAGTCATCTTTCATTGCCGCCGCTTACAGGGCGCTGAACTCGTCGGCGTCAATCTTCCCGATCATCGCCCGCAACTTCTCCTCCGTCACGCAAAATCCCTAGATTCTCTAGCGACTAATTGGAGATTGATGCCGACGGGGAAGCTGATTGAACTCCGTTGTGCGTATATCCTCATGTCGAGCCCTAGTTGGAGAAATTATTTGGAAGCGATTTGTTTTGATCTGATTTTGGGAGATTTGGTTTTCGGAGAATTGAGAGAGATGGCGAGAAATAGTTGGGATCAGATTTTATGGAGAGATGCGAGAATAATTAGATCTGATTTTGATCGGTTCCACCAATTAATTTTGAAAGAGATTTTCTTGCTCCATCTCAATCGGATTTCACGTTTTAATTTTAAAACATTGCCATATTCCCCTAACTAATGTAGATAAATAAGGAGATTCAACCGCAATATGGAATCAAAATTTCAAATTACAAATTCGAAATGCACATTTTAAAGGGTTGCCAAAATGAGTAAGTCAATAATGTTGACTGCGAATTTTTTAAAACTTTTCCAAAAGGATTGATTGACCTCTCTTTTTCCATATATATATATATATATATATATTTTGTTCCTACTTGTAGAAAAGTTCTTGGGAAAGCGCTTCTATAAAACTAACCAGAGAACACAAGTTGGAGATTTTTGGAAGAGCTGAAGAAAGTGAAAATGCCGAAGCGAACCACGCATACGTACTCGAGCGAGGACGCTTTGCCGGACGGCCCCGACTCCGATCTCTTCGTCTATTACTGCAAGTTTTGCAGCTCTCATGTCCTCATCACCGGTAATCCACCTCTAACCGCCTTCTCTCTTTATCTCACCTGCTTGCATCTGCATTTGTAAATTCCTTCCTCTTTAATTGATGCCCTGAACTCGTATTAAATTCTTGTGGTGCCTTTTTTTTTTTTTTTTTTTATATATATATTTGGTCGAGTTAAAATTGGTTTCCTCGTACTAAGGCATATGTATAGATACACAATTGCAGAAGATGCCGAAAAGGAAGACGGACAAAGCATATGTATTGGACAGGAAGAAGCATTTGGCTAGGCTAAACACAAGTGAAGCAGGAAAGGTCCTATTGAAGCGGTAATTTTCTCCTAGCTGAAGGGGATCATATCAATTCTTTGATCTGTAAAGTGTTTTTCAAATGTGTTTTACTTGTGGTTCTTGAATTTAATTGCGAAATTAAATTCGAGAAAAGGGAGAAATTGGGGCTACCGAATCGTTAAGCATAACAGAGTTCTTTATGGCTTGTTTTATATGTATGTTATGAATTATGTCTCCTCCACATATCTTGAAGAAACAATGTTAGACGATAGCATTTTCCGACTCTTCATATTGCAATGTAAACAGCAGGCTCAACATTGTATAAGGCGTTGTCTTTCACTTCAAAAAAACTAAGTTTCTAAAGAAGGTCATGTTAGTTTTGGTAAAGAGTCCTCTCTGGAACTGCTGACTGTTGCAGTTTCTGCTCAATATTTTTCTAATATTGTTCATTGATAAATATAACTTAATTCTTTCAGAGGTACTTAACAAGAATTTGTAAGTAATGTGTGTTCACTTGCGAATATGAAATTGTCTCTTGTTTTATGTAAATAACTTTTTGGCATTTTACTGCATTTACAGCATTAAATCATCAAATTTCCCTTTGTCGTTGGTCAAATACTCTAAAAATTCCTTGTGTCTTTATTGTGGTTGACCTTTTTGAATCAGGGGTGAAGGTAAATTGGAGAAGCAGTTTCGGATGAATTGTTTGGGTTGTGAGCTGTTTGTTTGTTACCGAGCAGAAGAGGAAATGGAATCGGCTTCTTTTATATATGTAGTTGATGGTGCTCTTAGTACAATTGCTGCTGAAACAAATCCCCAGGTAAAAGTTTTAAACTTCGAAACCATTCCATTATAGGTTATTCTCAATTCAATTGTTTGGAATCCAATCAGTGAAAATTATTCAGTCAGCAGTTACTAAAATAATAACAATTATGTTGATGATGTGATGTGATGATTATGATTAATGATCTCAGTCCAGCTCAGCTATGGCTTGCTTCTTGAATCATATATACTTAATGTTCTCTTCCTGAGCGGACAGTTGCTTAATTAGGTAATGCTTGACCTTACCGTTTACTGTAGGATGCTCCTGTTCCCCCTTGCATATCACAATTAGAAGGAGGCCTTGTCCAAGTCGCCATAGAAGTGGAAGACCGTTCACAACGCTCGGCAATTACAAGTAATGCATTGTCTTTTGATTCTTGATGCTCGAGTATTGTCATTTCTTACTGTTACATCAAATTGTCATATCTAGCTAACTCTAATAATCAAGGAATGTCCTTATGAACCAAAATGTTTCTGCTGCTGCAGATAGTTTTTATATACATTTCATACTCCTCTTATGAAAATGTTATGTTAAAAGTCTTCGAATGGTCAAATCTAGTATTTCTAAGTGTATTTTCATGTTTGCCAATGAATGATATCGTCTTCTAAAAGGTGAAATTTAAGATACTATTTCACATATTTGCCCCAGAGTTTCCTCTCTCCATTACCATAAAATCAAAAACGTTACCATAATGAAGAACTACAACCATGAATCTCCAGTAACAGGAAACAATTGTCATCAGAATTGCTAGTGATGCCTGTGAAGATTGGTTCTTATCCATTCTTGACAAAAATCTTGATTAGGTCAAATAATTCTTGTTTGATTGGGATTCAGATATTTATTTTGAGTGTGGTAAAGTTGAATGATCTGATAAGTAAAAGTTTTTGAACTATTTTGTTCTGATTGAGTATTCCATGCTTTCTACGTCTCTGTTTGGATTTTGACCTTAATGCCCTATTTATACGATGATAGTTTAAAGATGCACATAAAAACACAGCACATTCTTTTCTAATGGCGTTGTTTGGTGACTAACTTTCTAGGGGTAAATGCTGATGATGTCCGTGTTACTGTAGCTGCTCCTGCTGCCCGTGGAGAAGCAAACAATGAGCTTTTAGAATTTATGGGGAAGGTAGAAAAGTAGTTAAATATTGTTAGATGTCATATTTAGCATTTTGTGTTATATCTTATCAGGAAGTTTCAATTGATTGGGTGAGATTTTGTTGAAACATAGGTATTGGGTTTGAAGTTGAGCCAGATGACTCTTCAGAGAGGGTGGAACAACAAATCAAAGCTCCTGGTGGTGAGTTTGGTTCTTGAGCTTATCT